GACTTAGTGAGACGATAAATGGTGTATTTACATTAAATAACATTTTGTTTTAGCTGACGCTTTTATTCAGAGTTACATACTATAGAAGCAAATCACGACCCACCATTGGCCGTGTCTATGGGAGCAATTTGGGATTCAGTATCTTGCCCAAGGGCATGTTGGGGATTGATATATTATATGTATATGATTTAATAATAAATATACAACTGCAGATTCAGTGATGACATGTTAATATCATCATAAGATGCTTTGACTTGAAGTTGAAGTGACGAGAAGGTCAAACAAGAGAAAATATAGTGAAATATAGTGAAACATAATGAAAGTTAAGTGTTTTTGTTGTGCTAAAAAGAATACAGGGTTAGCTAAATGACACCAAGTTTTGGAATAAATTTTGACACATTTGTTAGCATTAAATATTAAATTCATAAATTGATCACCGCCTAGGATCCCTTTAAACTAAATAAATTATGCTTTTAAGATCCTTCAAAATTAGCATCATTTTTTTGCTTGGATTGATCCGGGACAGTGTTCAATTCAACAACTTGGTGTCATTTATCAAATTCTTTATTATTTTTATCACAACAAGAATGAAATGAAAATACTTGATTTGTATTATATTTTCTTAGCCTGTTCAAATGTAAAGCTGTATGACATGTCTGCACCTTTAATCAAACGAGAGATGCTAAAGGCCCTCAAACTGATATTGGTAAGTTCTGCCACACACAGGCATGTTCCTCAGAGGGTGAGACAAAAGTGATGTGTGTGTGTGTGATAAGGAACGGCGCCATGGCAGTGGCAGGACACAACAATGAACCCTCCTTACGAACACACACGCACACTGATAAGCATCACCTCCATCCCTCCGTCTGGCTTTTTCCTCCTGCCTCTCTGCTCTGAAACCAAAAGTTGATAACTGAAAAAAAGAGAGCTCCGGCTGGAGTCAGAACAACCACAGATACCAATTTGGCAGACAGAACGATACAGACAGGGATGGAGGAAATATAAAGCGTAGGTCTGTGGTTTAACCAGCGACTGTTCTTCATCTTCCTCCCTTTTATGTTATTATGAATGAGTCATAAAGGCACATTTGAATAAGACTTCATCGACTGATCTAAATGAGTATATAGTTATTTGAGTGACACACTTTTAAAACAGAAATTAGAATTTGGAAAACTCTTAACCTGTTAAACCCCAAGCCTGTTTTTCAGGTCTCAGGCTCGAAAATGACATGCCCAGAACAAATGACTATAACTTCACTTCTAAAAGGGGTCAATTAATAATCTTTTTTCTCAAAGCAATGATAAACCTGTGAGTTGGATGTAGAAAAGTCAGAATCAATATAGATGTATTTATTTTAAAGTAAATTCAGATTGAACATAGTAGAACAGTGTAAATTATAGTTCCGGTCCAAAAAAAACCCATTACTTATAGTGAAAACCACCCTTGAATGATGGGATAGTAGACTAAAAGCTTTAGGAATCCAAACTATAACATATAATAAGTACCCTGTATCAAGATTGATGCAAAACAAGTGACATTTGAGAGGTTTAGAAGAAAACCCATTTGGGTGTATTTGCCATATCTCTGGAACCCATTGGTGATTGACATCTCTTTTGAACTGTTAGAGCCAATAGAATTGAGGGGGAGTTCCTAAATCCATCTAAACATTACCCATTGAGGAATGAGAGTGATGCGCAGCCAGCATCCCCCAAACCGGAAGCTGGGTTACACTAAAAAAAAAAGTTGATTATTGGTCAAAAACCATATCTACGAAGTACTCTGATACTTTACTTAAGTAAAAGTACTAATAGTAAGGTTTACAATACTCCATTTTAAGTAACATTTCTGAATTTAACATCTAATATGAATCATCTCTCACTCATTGTGCAGAATGTTTTTTTTAATCGTTATAATATAAGTTAATATTATTCAATTTTTACATGTATATCCAGGAAATGCATATAGGAGTTGTTTTTATGTTTTAATTTGTCAATGTGAAGCACATTTTGGATATTTTGTGTACTACTGAGTGAATGTTAAATGTCAAACAAATGTAGTGCATTAGAAACGCACCACATTTCCCTCATCTAGTGGATGGTAATACTCAAGTAAAGTACCGTATAATTATACTTAAGTACAGTAAATATACTTAGTTACATTCCAACATTTTGTTGATCTGCTTATCATAATTGTGTGTGGTGTGGTGCTTATTACCCGGTATGTGTTGCAGCAACAGGCAGAGAAGACAAAGATCAAATCAGATATTCCTAAATATTTGAAACACCTTTTTGAGACACATGACGTAAATGTTTCTTGGCACCTGTATGAAAAGCCCAGCAGTGGCTCTACAGTATGTCAGTGTGTGGGCGGATCTGGCTGAAGTCTCTGTCACAAGACACAGCCGATGTCACAGACATTGTGTCGCTCCTTTATCTCCTTTATCAGACAAAAGGCAACAGGATATAATTTCACACAATAAGTGATGGTTCCCATAGCCACACTGGCAGTAAATACCAGGCATAATCCACACACACACATTCACAAGACCCATGTAACAGCATTATCATTTGAGAGTAAAAGACATATTTTAAAGGGGAAATCCTCTCATCTCTGTGTGATTGGATTAGGCTAACATCGTAACCAGATTAAAGGAGACATGTAGAGGGACATCAAAACCACTTGAAAATAAATCAATCCTGTTCAATGGCTGATAGACTTTACAGGCCTTTTCAAACAATTGCAGTCTATTTAATTACAGAAAAAAGGGCAAAGTGCACATAACAATAGGAAGGGAGAACAACAGGAGCAGCAACTCGCGTAGGAAAGCTGAAGAATGGCTGGTGTAAATGTCGGACTACTTCTAATCCACTTGGATGCGATTGTACTTGTGTTACACAACGTCAACGGAAATCTCTTTAACATTAAACTCATTCAAACCGATTTCAGCAGTCTCCCTTAAGATACAACCAGCAATATGCTTAGTGTATTAACCTGTTTTTTTTCACAAAACAATGTCTCAGGGCTTCTTAACATTTAACAACCTATTAATGTGTCATACCCACTTAACGGGAAGAAACTCAGCTAACTGACGATATGAACAATTTTTTGCTAAACGAAACACAAGGGTAATACCAAGCCTCTGAATTAGCACTAAGCGAAATAATGCTAACGCACTTAGCACAGAACTCACGGTAGAAATATTGTATTACTTATCGGATCTGCAAAAACAAGATATCAAATGAAAGCTGAGATTCCACAGATTCTACTCTCAGGGCAGCGAAGGCAAAACCAGACAACACACAACGTAGCTTTACGGAGCCAACACGGCAAATAAGTCTTACCTTTGCTGTTTTCTGATCAAAAGTTGTGTTCAATGGCATTAAAACGCATCAAAATGCTGCTGAAGGTTAATCCAATGTGTCTGTGCCACTTTGAAATTATTACTGATAATCCATCATAAAATTTTTGTCAAAAAACGGAGATTTCATATAGAGTGTGTGAGAGCTACAACCCAGCTTCCGGTTTTGGGCATTCTGGCTGCGCATCACTCATTCACCAATGGTAATGTTTGGATCGATTTAGGAACTTCCCTCTCGATTCTATTGGCTCTAACGGTTCAAAAGAGGTGTCAATCATCAAAATTGACCGAGGGGGGCCAGAGATATGGCAAATACACCACCATTTTGCTAAACCTCTCTAAAAAGGTAACATTTCACTTGTTTTGCATCAATCTTGATACAGGGTACTTATTATATGTTATAGTTTGGATTCCTAAAGCTTTTAGTCTACTAACCCATCATTCAAGGGTGGTTTTCACTATAAGTAATGTTTTTTCTTTGGACGGACACTATCATTTAATTTGTTTTACTATGTTCAATCTGAATTGACTTTAAAATAAAAAAAATATTTATTGATTCTGACTTTTCAACATCCAACTCACAGGTTTGTCATTGCTTTGAGAAAAAATATTATTAATTTACCCCTTTTAGAAGTAAAGTTATAGTCAATTGTTCTGGGAATGTCATTTTCGAGCCTGAGACCTGAAAAACAGGCTCAGGGCTTAACAGGTTAATGGCTTCTCAACATGGAAAGCATTTGCAGGTACAATTAGGTCATCTTTTTATGATGTTCTTTTAAGATTATTTTTGGGGTATTTTCCAAAACAGACAAGAGCTTTTACAGTTTGAGAAAATATTGGCATTATGCTATTAAACTGCTGTTGATCTATAACTTTAGATCAGCTAAAACATTTTGTTTTCAGGTAATTATATCTTTGATAATGTACGGTATGGAAAACCAAATGATTACATGAAAACACACCTAAAATTATAAAGAAGTCATTATATGAATGACTTTGGCCTCTATATGTTTTTATATGTAAGGCTTAGTTGGTAAAACCACACAAAATCTTCAAGTATTCATTTAAAAATGGACACCTGAGTCTAAACTTTCACCCTTTCCCACCATAACTTCAATACATCCAATCAGGGAAGGATGTAGAATATGGATCAGGTAAGATGGACAATTTAGACAATTGAAGATGATTCAGTTTTCTATAACCTTGCCACAATAATAATTACTGCAAAATACCTCAATTTTCAATTGGTTGGGAATTGTATTTCAAGTAGGAAAATAATGGCAGATAATAATACAATAATAATAATAATATCCATTATTTTACTATTGGATCATTCTATTGCAATATATTTTTTTGTGGAAATGTATCATGTTGGTTGAGTGTTATTGTAAGTATACCAAAACACAAGACAAGCATGGACCACACAGACAGCACCAAAACATAGTCTGACTGTTCAAATGATGAGGTTGATGGGATTGACCAATATGAAATAATGAGAGACTGCAGTAAGGTTGATGGAAAAGAACATCATATGAATGAAACCATTAGGAGGACAAGCCAATATAAAGAACCAAGATGGTATCAGAAGTGCAAAAGACGAGGTATTACAATAAAGAAGAGGTAAACAAAGAAAGTTTCCTACCTGATCCTGAGTCCATGATGTTGGCCTGCCCTCTGCGATCAGCTAGCAGCCTGGAGGAGCCGGGCATGCTGACTGGCTCTGAACGTACCGGTTGGATCCTGCACACATAACATATCTGGACATTACTTACTGAAGAATGTGTAAAACAAAACTTATTGTGATTAATCCGACTGATATTGGAACTGCACTATGAATCAGGATATTGGAAGGATTGATTTCTGTACCAAGCAAAAAGATTGTATTAGGTCAGTAGGATAGAAGGAGTAGGCCTGGACATGTATGCAGTACCGCAATCCTTCATTTGAGATTGCATTTACACATGTTTTGGCTGCAAGACATATTGTACTTCCTACGATTTGAATATTGCACCAGCCAATACTGCAATTTCAATAACAGTTTGATTAATTCAGCAGCCCCTTATTACTACACACATGCAGTATTATCCACGGGCCTCAGATGCTTTGCTTCTTTTTTTTAAACGAGTGATTACAGCCGGGGCAGGCAGTTTGTTCTTGTCGATATTGGGCGAAAATGCCATATATTGGCATATAGACTTCATTTATTTGAACAACTTGTACCTCAAACTGTGAAGGTCCAGGTCATCTGTGTCAAAATCCAACAGGGGCTGTTGGACATCAGAGGGACCCTGGGACTGAAGGACGGAGGATGAGGAGGAAATGACGGTGGTCTGGCCTGAAGGGTGAATGGTCTTGAACTGAAACTGTGGGCCCATCCAAAGGCGTCGGTGGGGCCCTGTGTGGGTCACAATTTCCACCTGAGATTTAAGAGAAAAGATTAGTGAGGCAAGAATATGATTGAGTAACGCTCATAATGTTCAGATGCTCACACATCAACTATCTTAAGTTTAGCAGCTAACGTTGAACTTGTTTACTGTTCCAGTTCAGCTTGTGGCATGTACAATTAGGCTCGTTAACAAATGCCAAATAGCACTTAACAGGGAGTACATTTAAGACTGTTGGGAATTTGTATATTTTCAGTTAGATTTGTAGGTATTTGGTCATTAATGAGAATGCTAAAGAGAGAAAAAGTCAAACAGTCTTTTACGGGCCGGCTTCTGTAACTCAAATTAATTTGAGCTAACATCTATTTCATCTGTCTTTCTGGTAAAGCACAAAAACATGGTGATAAAACTGTGTGGGAATTACATTTTTTCCTTAGAATAACATAATTGTTTCCACTTTGTTCTGCGGATTAAATTAATATGTGTAAGAAAATGCACAGCATCAAGGTTTCAAGGTTTCAAGGCTTGTATTGGTCATACGAACATAGCTACAGTGTAGTTATGACGATGAAAATCTTAGGTCACAGGCTCCTCCAACAGTGCAACACAATAACACAGAAAAACAGAAAAGCATCCCATTGTTCTCCAGATATTCCTATTTCAACCAAAGTGGAAACACCAACCAAATGAAACGATGACTTTTCTGTCATTCCATTCTATTAGAAAAAACATCTGTGTGGTTCTCCTCTATCGCCAGTTAGTCAATGACAGAGTCCTGGCAATTTTCCTTAAGAGTCGTCATCAGTGGATTTGACAGGGGGTTGGCTATATGCCAATACTCACCCCATAGACTACTCATATGAATGAATACATGACATCCAACAAAAAGCTTGCTGTACCCCTGCACTACTAAAAGTCTGAGAATGTTGTCAGAACTCATCTAGGTCTTGTGTGTTGGGAGAGCCGGTGGTACGATGGGAAGCATTCCCAGAGGGTTAATGGAAGTGTGACTCGAGCAACATCATGGCATCGAGGCTGAAGTGTGGCCTCCTGGGAGAAAAAAGATGGCACTGGAATGGCAGGCGGTCCATGGGCACCTGAGCGGAGTGGCACTAATGCCTGCTGAATGTAGGATAGGAGTGGATGACTCACAAACATCAGACTATTAATGCCTCCTCCGTTCTCCATCTCCTCTTCGACTTTAATGTAACAATCTTCTGGCTGCAACTCCCACTTTTTCAATGCTCTCCCACGCTAACTCTGACTTTTCAACTCCCTGCAACACTTAACATGGATCTTGGTGTCTCACTGTTCACATGTAATTATCTTTACTTCCTACATGTTCATCTCTCACCTCAGCCCAGCTCTCAGCTCGTGGTAGAACTCCACTCTGGCTGCTAGGGGCCAACATCTAAGACAAGAGTGGGAGCTTACACTTTCTAGGGTCCTCTGTGTATCAGTGTTCATACACATATGTATGCATATACTGTAAACACTAAAGGCCCAGACACACCAAACAGACATCAAATAACTAATGGCAATGGGGTCAATGTTGATTAGCTTACATCGTCCGTTTCTTGACAAAAACGTGCATGTGAAGTGAACACACCAAAAGACTAAAGCTAACGACCAACTAGCACGCCTTCTGGTCCTTTGCAAGAGGAAAACAACTCTTCAAACAGATATGCAAGTTGTTGTCATGATACATACATTAAACAAAGCAGAATTTGCTGATGAATTTCAAACGACTCTTGATCACCAGTTAGCTTTATTCCAAATGGTCATGTCAACGTTTCCGAGTATTGGAAAGATCAGATGAGATGAAGATGCAAATTGAAAGAGCCATTTGCTTGTTTTTCGTTACACCGGTTTGTTTTCTCTTCTTCTTTAGCTGAACAATAAATTAAATGTATGTCTTTCACCAATGCCAGGGCCAAAAAGTGCCATATGTGAGGCAAGAATTAAAGCAACAAAGGCTCATCTAGGCCCAACATTTGCTGACTTGTGGTGAGATGTTGTAACGCACAATGTCTTAGAACATATTTATTCATGTACTAGGAATGACTAGATCAGTTTAACCATCTATCAACTGCTATGAGCTATGTCATTATTTCCCATCACATCAAGCTTGACAGATGAGATGTAGAGACCTGCGGTGGAGCGGAGGTGTAAGGACAGGAGCATTTGTTGTCGACGGACAGCCAGCTGAAGAGTTACTCTGGCTGATAAGCAGCAAACGGCCTGATGTTACAGCGGCTGGAGCACTGACATGGAGGGTCACAAACCTCACATTTCATTAGTGGAGAGCCGATCAATCCTAAATCCCAACGCAAAGCCAAAACGCCTGCTTATAATCTAATGAAGGCAACTGATATGATATGATGGAATCCACCGGGCAATTACTTAGACTGTAATTCAAAAAGCATTTCTCAATCCACCAAGATACTGCGTGATAAATCGGAGGTACTGGAATTCTGCCCTTTATGTCTTATCCACATCCCTGTGTTTATTTCATTTTGGTCCTTTTAGCCTAAATTCCTTAATAGTCTGGAACGATCCAAAAGAGTTCCATCGTAGGTACATGCTAAGGTATGTAGAGCTGTACCGTTACATATCCAACCACTGAAGAATACATCCCTACCAATGCTTTAACAGGACTTTCCTAAAAATCTAGGTTAGTGCAATGGATAGTTTTGCTCCTGGCAAACTATCATGGCAGATATGGACCAGTGCCTCAGCAAGCTAAGTGGGGTGCATTTTAACCGATCAATTATACATGCAGTGGAATAATTGATGGTGAAAATGTAGTGGGTTACCTGCCGACACGTAGGATGAGTGCTTTGAGGGTTAAGCTGAAAAGACAAGGGTTTGTGTACTGGATATTTCTAACATGCCTTGACAAATACTGTGAACATTTCAGTGTATTGTAGGATGACTTTAGTGATTAGGAAGTTATCCTATTTTAATGTTCAAGGTCAGTAAATGTGGATCCAAAAAATTAAGATCCAGATGGTCTTTTCATTTAGTATAGGAAAAAGCCTTTTTGCAACCGCAATCATATTTTGTTTTCCTGAACTTAAGTTTTGAATTTGAGAGAATCATGCAAAATTAAGTCAAACATTCAAATGTGATAATTTCTCTTTGGACACACCCTGTGTTGCAGTAAAGTCAATCTTGAAGCGGGATATTTAAGAATCACATTAAGCCAATCAGTCACAATCAAACTGTTCTTTTTGTCCAAAGCAACAGTGTAAATGTTAAAACACAGCAACCAAAATGTTGTAGTCAGGTAACTGTAATGTTGGTAGAGATAAGGTTCTGACCTGAGAGAGCCACTCCTCGTCCTCAGGAACGCTGTGGTCTGACGCCAGGCTGTCCGACGACTCGTGGCGGGTGATCGGGCCGGGGCTTCCTGGGGGCATCGCTAGGAAAACACACAAACACACCATTCTATAATGTTTTACCCATCGATGAAATGTTATATATTTTTAGCTGCCTATATTGCGTGCCAATATCCAATTTCATTACGTTTTTTAAGCAGAGATGATCTGTAATATTTAAGTTTTCAATGGTTTATACAGAATGATTGTATTAAAAAGTGTAAAGGGCTTCAGCTTCATAAAACATGACACTGATAGTGCTTAAAGAGAGGAACAGCAGGTCAAAGCTGACTAGGGGAGTAATGAATGAGCCTGTAAAGGAAAATGATAATTGAGAACTAGTTTATTAAAGTGTGTTTAGAGTCTGATATGGTCTTTTTCTATACCAATACTAATATGTAGGCAGTTATGACTTAATGGTTCAAATGTTTAATTCTGTGCAGACATCATGTTTTTTTGTAAGATCAAAAACCAATATGTAAAAGAAAAATAAATATGTAAAAAAAATGAGGACTGGGGAAGGGGAATGCATTTGAAGGTGGAGTGGTGAAGTGTGTGACATGGTGTTACAGAGGTTTCAAAAAGCAAAACCTTCATCATGTGTGTATGAAGAGTGTGAGTGTGTGTGTGGTTAAATACAGCAGCGCCTCCTGTTCTCCAGATGTGGACTTGACAAGTTTATTAGCTATTCCTGTGTTAAACAAACCCCATACCTGAGGTGGGAGACAGAGAGCGGACTGATTCTGTACATTAGGACTTATTCCGCATGCCTGCTAACTCAAGCCATGAGAACTCCATCTGTCTCTTGGTCTCTGTCATGTTCTCCTCTCTCTCACTGACTCTTTATAAAACACTGACACACACACACGCACAATTTGTTGAAATGTTTTGTAATCATTTATATTTAAACAGGGTTGGGAGGGTAACTTTAAGAATGTATTCCATTACAATTACCTATAGAAATGTAATCAGTGACTTAATCTAAACAGGTCTTATTATTATGCTTTCTGGAGTTGTTCCTTTCTTGTGTGTTATATGTATATTTTACATCAAAATCTCAAAGTGCCTTCCAGAGGGAGTTTCTCTCCCACACGCCCCCTGTTATCCTGCTAGTAACAGATCCCCATTTTTATCTTTTTTAATATATATTTCAAATTGTTTAAACGTTTCAGTAATCTGATTACGTATTTTTGTATGCAACTGTAATGGAATGCGGTTATTTTTGTTCTATCCTAATTATGCCGTTACATGTATTTCCTAGGCCTTTATATATATGTATATACTGTATATACAGTATATCCAGGGTTGGGAGGGTTACTTTAAAAATGTATTCCGTTACAATTACTAGTTGCCTGTAAAACAAATCTATAATCAGTAACCTAATCTGAGTATCAAAATATAAAAGTAATGTTATCTGATTACTTTCTGTTACTTTTGGATTACCTCACTATGCAATGCAGATAAATAAAGAAAATAATTAACAAATGTATATTATGTTAGTCAACACAATGTGACCTTAGAAAAGTGTTTTTATTTAAAGCATATTCAGGCTGTAGCCTATACACCAACACTGAAACACATTAGCACATACTACATCTTAAAAAAGCAGACATACAATCTAAGCTGACGTCAAATGCTCCGTTTAGTTCAATACATACATACATACAGTTAATACATACCTCACACACACTATTGTATGAACATAAAGGTTGACCTACTGATTTAAAAAACCATAAAGCAGATTCAGGCAGCGTATAAAGTCACACTTAAAGTATTAGCCTACAGAACAGAACAGCTTACATTACACAATATGCTGTTTTTAGTTCTTTTACTAACATTGCAATCCTGCTAGTAATCCATAATTATAAGACCTGTAACAGTAATCTGTAGACTGTAAGGGAATACAGTTACCTTTTTTTGTATGCTGGTTAGTAATCTTGTTACATGTAATCCCCACTCCCCCCAGCCTGAGCATATATGTATCTTACCCCTGCCCTCTTTCTCTCTTCCCCTGACCATAGGGGCCAATAACTGTTCCCTAATTAATTATTGATGTTCTGAAGCAGTTGGTGGACTGGCTGGATCATGTTTCCAGTGGGGAGGGGGCTTTCAATGGCCAGAGTCACAGCCAGGCTCCGGCGTGGGGAGCTAGTGGTCATACCCATGGGTCAGGCCAATACACAACCCTCCTTATGTGTGTGTGTGTGTGTGTTAGTGTGTGTTAGTGTGTGTGTGTGGGTGTGTGTGTGTGTGTGTGTGTGTGTGTGTGTGTGTGTGTGTGTGTGTGTGTGTGTGTGTGTGTGTGTGTGTGTGTTAGTGTGTGGGTGTGTGTGTGTGTGGGTGTGTGTGTGTGTGTGTGTGTGTGTGTGTGTGTGTGTGTGTGTGTGTGTGTGTGTTCGTGTGTGTTAGTGTGTGTGTGTGTGTGTGTGTGTGTGTGTGTGTGGTGTGTGTGTGTGTGTGTGTGTGTGTGTGTGTGTGTGTGTGTGTGTGTGTGTGTGTGTGTGTGTGTGTGTGTGTGTGTGTGTGTGTGTGTGTGTGCGTGCACGTCAGGAGCCAGACTGAACCCGGCTGTTACAGTCATATCTACCCATCTTAGCGTCCGGCTAGCCCGCCACTTGGCCTTCTGCTTTTACAACGCTCATTACTGGCTTTTAAGAGACAGAACGTCAATGCAATTTCACAGACGGGACATTTTTAAGTTTAAACTTATTGCACTGTACTGAAGAAAGGAGTTTAAGTGTGTGTGAAATGATCTTGTTTTTTCATTGACATATTTATAGAAACATCCGAGTCGGCATAGCATAATGTAATTACTAAAACTCATTTTAAAAACAGGATAATTAAATAGGGATAATACACTTCAGAGGAATTCCTTCTCATCAGTCTACTTGAGATTTCTTCAATTGTTCTCCTTGTTAATGTTTAACTGCTTAAGTGACTGCTTTATTTTATATAGCATACTCATATTCAGTCGTATTTTAAAATAAATGTAAATTCAGACCTTTTAGAAAACATTTTTGTAATGGTTTTTTTGTGCAATAATAATGCCTTTGTCGCATCAATCAAGCATTGTTGAACAATTTCCCAAAGAACTCATGCTTATGACAAAGAGGTCAAAAGGTGACTCGAGCCATTTGAGTAAATAATTTTTTTTCAATTAATGCCAAAACACATCTCATCAATGTATAATATGTGCTGAATTTGAGGAACTTTCATTGGAATCATACTTGGTACTACAATAAATGTATGCTTGCACAGTTTGCCACATTGTGTTGCTGCATAAGTAAATTGACAATGACCCTGAACATTTTTGGCACATTAGTCCCTCTTAACCATCTGTCAGCCAAACATTCTGTACCATCGCTAACTTGTGAAGAAATGCATGAAAAGTCTGGGGTTTTATTATGTGGCTAATATACTTATCCTGTTGTCCGGTGTTAGACAACGTATTTTCCTAAATATAAAGGTTGGTTTAATAGTGTAATACTTTGCTTTGGTCAGTTTCTTCAGCAACCACACTGTATGTGCTTGCATATCGACATAGGAAAGAAAAACAATCTACATCGCAGAGGAACAGATTTGTCTTGAATGCAGAGAGAGTGTTTTTTTTTTTCTGTGCTGAAGGCTGGAAGCCAGTGGCCTGTTGGCCAAAGCAGTGAAGCAGGGAGTCAGAACAAGAACAAAGGCTGCCCAGGTATTGATGTAGCCCGACCTCCCGAGGCCTTGGGCCAGCGGTCGGACAGGCCGATCTCCAGGGCCAGATAAGGGACAACAATCTGATAGATCTGGCTGCTCGGTGGACAGAGGATAGCCGTCTTGTCTAGTCTGGCCCCTCTGTTCACCTTTATCTTATTCATTTTTTTAAAGATTAATTTAGTCTTTTTGTATTCTTCCTATCTCTGCTTTGACCTGCCACACTTGGCTGCCAGACATTTCACCTGCTAGGTTCCCTCCGCCTATCTCTCTTCTCACGTTCCTCTCTTCTCGCTTTCCTCTTTGGAGTAGTACTCTGGCAGATAGGTGCTGGCATACTGACAGATTGGGATAGCTTAGTCATTATATATCATTCAAGGCGGATTTGACTGACAGTACCTTCATTCAGCCAGTGCTACACTTACCCCTTCCTTTCTCTCCCTCTCTTTGATTACTGACCCAGTCATGGCGCCATGGTTTCTCTTTACCAAATGCCTGATGATGCTCCAAGGCCATCACTCCAGCCCCTCTCTCGGAGCAATTAGATCTATTGACAAGGCAACTGAGGCTGGCCTGTCATGGGCCTCAAAGTCCCAAGAGAGCAGCCGAGCGAGCCAGTCAGTCAGTCTCCACAATTAGCACATTATATGACAGGTAGGGAGGGGAGGGCCGCGGCCAAAAAGCATAGCCTCTGTTGCCGCCTTCATCGCCAGGCTCAAAGGAGCCAGCCAGATATAGGTGGTAAATTATTCACCAGGTTGTTTACTTCAAACAACTTTGCGGCGAGGGGAGAAGATGTTGGAAAGCATGGTGTGGACAGCTAAGTAAATATCACCCCAGGAAAACAATCAGTGAGAAGAAAATCGGAATACAAAATCGAATTATAATAAATTAGGGTGTTTTGATAGGGATTATAGGAGTCACCTTATTACCCAGCTCAAACACCTCTGGCCAAGAGAGAATTGATCCATTCACACACTTGCCTAATACTTTTGGAGACAACAATCCTGTGATTCCACATTATCTACAAATAGGGGATCTCCAAACACTAAACAATTGGCTCAAGACTGCTTTTATTAAGCTGTATCGCTCTACAGCATCTCCTCTATTTGTGAGTGTACTGTATAATGTGTGTCTCTTTCTTCCTTATCTCTCCGAGGCAGTGCAGCACGTTGCTGTCCTCTGCGAGGCTGAGTGCTGCGAGTAGCTGCTACAGATGGACAGGTGGAGATAGTGACCATGAAGTGGCGCCACTGCTGCCTTTTATCATCCCGTCCTGGAGGCTCCGGTCTTGCATGACCCCGGCCCTTCCTCTCCCCTTCCTACTCCTTTCCCTGCATACTGCATTTTTAATCAGCCTTGGTCATCCAATATTGAGCCACGAGACCAGAGAACACGGCCTGTCACTCAAGCACTGCCAGCTTTGTGCTGTCGTGTCACCTTTTTCGAGACACAGCCTGTTTTGTTAGATGATTAGAAGAAGGGAATGTCCATAGATTTCTTAGTATGGTTCGTCCAGTACTTCTGTTTGTTATAGTTTTTTAATGGTAAAATCCTTTCTGTCTTGTTTCCTCTTTTGGTCTTCCTCTCTCTTGTAATGGTTGTATCAGAATCAGAAACACGTTTATTGCCAAGGAAATGTACACATAAAAGGAATTTGTCTTGTTGTATATGGTGCATACATAAAAATCTTTAAAACCTGATACCTACGGAATATAGCGCAATTCTAACATGATATATAGATATACCAAAGTACTACATACAGTACAATACTGTATAACAAAATAGTCTGAATAATAAAATAAAAATATCTGTAGTATTGTTACGAAAAGTTGAAAGCTGTGCAGATACAGATGGAACAAACGTGCAACATTTTCGGACATTACTGACTGACATTACTTAAATAAAATAAAAAAAAACAAAATATTGTACGCAAAGTGTGCATTAATTGTATGCATACTGTTTAATTAGGCCGTTAAGGGAAGAAACGGTTGAAGTGGCGAGAGGTTTTGGTCCTGATGGAGCGAGCCTCCTGCCAGAGGGGAGGGGGGTGAACAGTTTGTGTCCAGGGTGGGAGTGGGTCAGCCACTATCTTCCCTGTCCGCCTCGCCACACAAATAAGACCTAAATAGCACAGTTTGTTCTGCAAGTAAGATTTGTGTGCCTTTTTCAGTTTCATCTGCAGTGGCAGGATCGTTATGTTCAGCAGGAGGCAACTGGACAAGAGGCGTATGGCTGTGCTGTAATTCATCCTAGGGTCAAATCGACTCTTTCTCCTGGATCACTACTCCTTTGCGCTGCCAAGCCCTGGAGGGAACGGCAGAGGAGAGGGCTGGCAAGGGGAAGCATGCTGAGAAAAGGGATGTCGAAAGCTTGAGCTCGGTTGCAATGCACACAAAAATTGGAGGTTGCCGTGCAAGACACTGGACCGGTGGTGGCAGTGTCTGGGACACCGACCCTGAGGGAAAATGGCAGGAGCACACGAAATGGGTAGAGGGCTGAACAATTATGTTTATAGCGTTGTGACCCCGCATTGTTCACACTTGGATGGTTGGGGGAATAAAGAGACAGGGCGGTGTTATCTGGCTATTGTTAATTGGATGTAAATGTTAATGCAATGAATCCCTCTCATTATGCAGCCAGTTCATCTGCCCATGTTGGCAGAGAGAATGGTAGAATAAGTTGACGCGCATGTCCGTCACTCCAACGTGTCCTCATTGCTGTGACACTAGGAGAGACCATTAGCACTAATTTGAGAAAAATATCCTACCAGTTAGACCTGGAGCAGTGCAGAAGTCAACAGAGACGAGTGGAGAAATTAGGGTAAAACAGCTACCACTTGCCCCGGAGCAGCCGCGAGAGCTAATTACAGATTCCGTGTGTTTATAATTATGGAGTGAGCTCAAAACGCCAGCCGATTCCAGGGGGTGGATTGATACCGTGTGTGGCCATCCGAGTGCACTCGGTGCTTTTTGCGAATTGGCCTTTCAGAGGGCAACCTAAAGTGCTCACTGCTCTGTACTTGTTATTGAATTAGAGAGTTTAGGGTGTCAGCTAATTGGTTTGAGAGCGGCATCTTATAGCATTATGCTAGCGTGTCCCGGAGCTGGCATTTAGCGTGGCCGCCAAAGAACGGACTTGAGTACCGAACAAAGGAATGGAGATACTTTCCGATATCGCTCATGAGATGTGAAATAGTATAACTGGCTGAAGTATCTTTCACGGAACTCTTTGAGAAAGGACATGTTATGGCTGTTGACTGGAGAGGTCTCATCTCAGCATGTGGCACCAATACGACGCAAAGGACTGGCTTTCAACACAGTCAACATGGAAAACCAGGGAATAGGGGTCACCACCTTGACTAATGATGCGTATCGTAAATACAGAGAAAATACATGCCTACACAGCATGTATTTTCAACCAAGTTCAACCAAAATATACATTTTCCTATATGTCAATACCTACATGTATAACATTAAATAGTACATACAGTACAGGCAGATACGCAATGGTATAATGGCACTTTGAATTTAAACTCACTTTTATAGCAAATCAATATTTTGGTAAATAATGGTGTCAAAAATTGACCACAAAGGGAAAAGCAAAGAGGAAATAAATATTTACCTAAACTACATTTCAGCTGAAATAGTTGATTCATTTCCAAAAACATACCTTTTTTATTTTATATCAGTATATTCTACATGCGCTATGAGTGAGTAGCATGATTCATATTTGTAAATGAATGTTGCCATTTTTGCCATTAGAAATGAAAGAATAAAGGTGTTTTTACTCTCTAAATTAGCAAGATTCTGTTTTATTGGATTTGGCAGATGACTTTGCAATTTGTTGTCAGGCTTCCCAATAGCGGGCCAACGACAGAAGTTTCCAGATCAGCTGCAGCCATCTTGGTAGTGTTCAAAAATGCCTCAACTGGGCTCTGCATACTTCCCATATTGGATAAACGGTTGTGATTGGCTTGTCACATCACAGGCTGCTGAGCGGAGGGGAACCAGACGCATTTGCCGGAGCATATTAAACATGAGCTGCAGATTCATCTGGTACAGTACACTGCATGTACAGTGCACGTTGCTGTCTGCCACACTGTCATTTATTATATTACCACAAAGTTCAGCACATAAAAGGCTTTAAATGTGTTCAGCGCCCAGAGCTTGTATTTCTTTTCTATCCGGACCGTACATTATTTTTGTCACAAAAACATGAAAAAGACATGCCATATGAACATACAGTATGAGGTTTAGAGTAATTATTTGAACAGCAATTTTTTACAGACAATATATTTGGGAACTGATAAAGTACAGCGAGCATGGTTCTTAAAAAAACAAAACATTAATGTATATATAAAGCACTGTCAATGTTTCCTTCTTTAAAAGTATATTAATAAGTTGACGCCTGGAACACATATTCACTTCAATTTGCCTGAGGCAAGCATGCATTGACTTGTAATGGAATATATTGTTTACATTGACTTCATATGCATTAAACGTTGCTGAAATGCTATAATATATGTGAATATGGTTGAACACAATCAAACCAATGAACATAGAAAGATTTTATCAGCACTCACCAGCCAGAAGATACTGATAGTACTGCACCAGATCTGAGGCCAACACCAAGGGATGGTTGGAGTTGAAGGGTGGCTGCAACTCATTCCATTGTGGAGTCCTGCTCCAAAAGAAATAACTGTATCACTGACTGTATTAGAGGCACTCTTTCTAGGATAAAGTGGTCAGCATAGTTTTACCTGGCTAGATTCCAGCAGGCCCTTGGGCAGGTGTTGAGCTCCAGTGGTGTGTCATCACTAATCTTTTGAGCAGTGCTGATTGGCCGAGGCTCCAAGACATGTTCCACCATTGTTCCGTAGCAGCTGATGATGTACAACGACTCAATGACTGACTGCTTGGATGGATCTATGAAGGGGAAAAGGCAGTGATAAGAATACTGTTATATCTGCTACTTAAAATGGTAATTAAAAGGTGCGATAACAATAATGAGGGAGGAACTGCCAGCATGTTGTCATTTGTCCAGATATATATATTTTTTTTTTCAATAGAGTGGTGCAGTGAAGATGTATTTTTGGTGGCCGACCAGGAAGTAAGTATCTCAAGGGCTCCCTGGATAAGAAAACGATTTGATAAAACAATGAGACAATAGATTTGTCCATTGGATTTTGGATTAATAAAACATCTATAGCAAACACACTTGATTTAAGATTTTTGAATTGCAAAATGCAGTCGCCAGAAGTAAAAAGCTAAAATAAGGCTATAAAGAAACTTAAGTTAAGTTGTGATGCACATATTTTATGTCGTAAACAAAACGTGAAAATCTCTCAAACTTATGTTAACCACATACCTTACAAAACCCTTTTGTTTGAGAAGAGGGAACCGGAAGTTGTAAAATGCTACGTCACTTCCGGGTTTTAGGACTCATTCCTGCAACAGTCTATTTTGGTAATGCATTTTTGGAAGACTTGTTGGAACATTGCCAGGATCTTAATTCAAAAAGCACCTGTGGCTATGGTCTTACCTTTCTCTCTTTTCATGTTGGGGTTGGTGATGAACCAGGAGCGAGATGAGGCGAAGATGGCGGCCACGCAGAACTCTCCTCCACTGGACTTGCTCGGGGACATCTGAGGGGGCGGCTTGGCTTTGCTAAAGGAGGGGAAAGTGTACGAAGATTAGACAACGTATGAAGAAGAATGCAGAGACTGGTCTCAAAGTTGCTCTGTGTGGTGTTTGAACATGTCAAAATTAAATGATGTTTGTAACCAACAGACCATGGAGCAAAAACGATAATTAGAAACTTGATTTGCCCCATACATATTGTTGTTAAAGAGCAGCAAACAAGAATGTTCCCTCTTAAACTGACTTTGAGGCACATATGGTGAAGTACAATAAATATGTGGCATATTTGAGACACTATTTAAATATGCGTTTGTTTAATGAATTATATAATCAGAATCTGATTCAGAACACATGATGATTTTCAACATTACAAAACAACAATGTAACACATTGGAGGCAAGTATATGAAAGTTACACAGTGACATTGCTCAATGAATAACATTAACTTATAAAAGTGTTTTGCATGCAAGAAGGCAAGCAAGGGAGATTTTAAATACATTAAGCATCCACCTTATTAGCAGTCAAGGAAAAAATGAATTAAAGGTGGGGTAGGTAAAAAATCTGCCACTTCCTTACAGAGCCCCTCCTCCAACACACACGAACGCGCACATGACCAATGAGGGCACGAGATAAGTTTGTGCACAGATGGAAGGCTGACAGGCAGGTAGGCCATCCAGTTATTTTAGCCAGGCCGGCTAAAATGATTGGTCGTGCTTTTTACAGTACTACGGCTTCCACAGATGACATTTTTTTATGTATTTATTGTCAAAGCATTTAATATATTCATTGCTCTCGGGATGTTAAGAGCATTCCATGGAATATAACAAAAAGTGTTTCTGAAATAAATTACATACCCCACCTTTAAGCTCTAAAATAAGTGCTTACGTAATTCGTATGAATATAATAACAAAAATCAGGCAAACTTAAAAGCTTATGTATGCAATAAAGAATGTCCACATTCTCAATTTAACCCTATACTCAATTCAATATAATTTTTTCAAGATTTAGCTTCCATCGTAAGCGTTTGTGAGAGATACAGAAGTCACAATTGGTTGACAGACTGCCACTTAATGAACAATTTGACAAAATGTGATAGGTAATGGGCTTGATATTACATATATAGTACTGTATATAAAGTGTTCCTGATATTCAGTATAACACCAAGTGTATTGCTTATTAGGATGAATTTGCAAGTCATGTAAACTTCTTTAAATTAGACTGAATATACAAGGTGTAAAGGATACTTTTTATAGAGAATTACAATATGTATCACTCAAAGGAACATGCATCGCACAACAGCAGTGTCCCAGCTGCTTCCCTTGTATTGGCAACAGGAGAAAAACGTATGGTATTTATTGGATTATTGAGCATGTCAGGACCGTTTGAGAGGAAACGGACACAAAAAGGGTTTTCAGCTGCTGTAGGGCTGCTCATGTGGTAATGATCAAAGAACAGTAGCTAGGTCTGGTATTATTGTCCGGCCTTATAACTGACCAGGACAGTAAAACACGGTCACAGCAGATCAGGCATGAGGTTGTCGTAGGGGTCACAAACTCATGGTAGTGTCACACACTCCCAGAGGGATGCTTAACCTTAACCTTTGGAAACCACACTGGTGAGAACGCTACACACTGTCTTTCCTTACTTAAAAAAGAAAATTGATGAAAAACTCATTTCCATTTGGTGGAGCATTTTCCCTGCCATTATACATCTTAGGCACAGTAACAAGTGAGAATATAAATACAATGTGAACAGCATCTGGACTAGGGTTGGGAACATTAAGAACATGAGTTTATTTTACCTGCCAGTACAGTACACACTTGGTTTAACTTGACAGCCAGTTGACTTTAACCAATCATTGTTGGCACTGGTAAAATGGTTCAATTCTCAATTAATGGGCAATACATTTGTTGACTAAAAAGTCTTACATTAGAAAACAGTCGCCATTGATAGCGAATAATCTTATCATCCAATTACATTGGAACTGGTTGTTTACGAAATCGCTTAAATAAGCACTGATTAGCCGATAGTCATCACACAAATTGAGGGTACTAGGCTTTTGTTATCAATTAATACATTTTTCTACACACTGTTAATGCATGAAATGCAAGAGATTTCACAGTTGCCCATCCAACAACATCACATTTTTCATCATCACTTTATTGGCCCCTATCATAAAGAAAAGTAAAAATAATACTACACTGTTCATTTTTGGTTCTAGGATGGACACATCCATCAACATCGCTCCAATATGAATGGTGTGCAACCTGTTGAAGTTGGTTGCAACTGAACAAAATAGCTGTATCTTACTGATATGTCCTTCTCAAAGGACGCTGAATAAAAAACCCAATGCAGGGTAGGGTTAAGAAAGTGAATACTGTAGTTTACCAGTACATCTTGTAGGGGGAGGGTGTCCAGTAATTCACTTTGACAATACTAGGTGCTGAAAGATGTTGCAGGTTTAAACTCTCAATGATACAAGGAACTGTTTTGTATAAAAAAACTCTCAAAGATATTTTTGTGTGGTAAAGTGTGGAGTATGAGTTCTTGGCTCTCATAGCCTGATCAAAAAAAAATAAAACTCTCTTTCTGTTGCCTCCCTTCAGCCTGTCAGCACCTCATAAATTACTCCCTGGATGCAAGGAGATGTTGATGTCTTGTTTGGCCAACACTATTCAAGAGAGTGATCAGGAAATAGGAAGTGGTGAAGGTAGCTATAAGAAAGGCCTCTATACAAGTGTATAATGGGTCAAGGAGAGAAAGCTGAATAGCCAAATATTCACAGAAAGCCCAGTCTTTGAAAGAGAGATGGAGGGCAAGATAAAGTCGTGCTAAGGATATTGCTAACACCAATGAACTCATCTTGGCTTATGTGTTTTACAGCGCGTCCAGAAGATAAGTCATTTAACAAAAGTGTACAGTTAGCTTTCCTCTATGAGGGATTTCTATGACTGCATGTTTTCTCTGAAGAGGATTCAGCCAATGAAGAGCCTGCCAACAGTCCAAAAGATCACAGCTCCTCCTAAGGATGCATTGAAATTGTATTCATCTGTGTTTTAAATCATCCTTTTTCTTTTGATCTCACTTCAGTGGGCTTAAAAGTGTTGAGGTTTCTACCCTTACACCAGAGAGGCAAAGCTCCAGCTGAAAGTGGGCTAATTCTGCTCTCCATATGGAGGACAGCAACCAGTTCTTGGAATAAAGACCAAGTTCCACAAACATGAAATAGTTAGATACATTATGAAGCATAAAAACGTACTACAGAGAATTGAAAGGGGGTCACTACAGAAACAGCTAAATTAATTCTCCCTTCACATGATTTTGTTTTGTACGATTGCCTTTGATTCCATTTTCTTGGCAACTTTAATTCACTAAAGACTACTCTTGTCATTTCCACTTTTAATTTAACAAATAAGGACTCTTGACTGAGCTAATAGCTTTTCTTCAAGGGCATAATTCAATCTGTAACATCAACCATCAAAGTCGCTTTGCATGACTTTGCCCGGGGCTAACGCGAGGCGCCTCCAAGGGGGGGGAAGGAAGTCTGGTGGCAGCTTCCATTTATTTTCAGGGCCCTCGAAGTAAACAAATATGATAAAGCTCACTTGAGCTGGCCATCCAGTGACAAAGAGCTGTACGACTGTCGCTGAACTGATTCTGGGCCATATGGTTAATTCAAATCAGAAAAGCAGCCTCTATTAAGACTGAAACCAGGAAGGGGAAAAAAGAAAGGCAGAGAGAGGAAGAGAGGAAGGGCAATCATGTGGAGGACACATCCTTCAACGTCACATTTATTATTTTACAACAGCCCTTGGAAAAGAGGCAGCCTTGGGGCTCTGTCGAACCCACATCACTAATGACAACCACTTGGGGAACTCAGTGAACATTTGAGAGTGGCCATCACCGTGGAAACTAGGCCTGTTTTTACCTTTTCCTATTCCGTTTGCTCCACAAGTGCTTCACTAGACATGGAAGTTTAATAGTCTACACAGTCTGATTTAGCAAATACTGTCATATATATTGGTGTAAAACCATTTATTTGCGAAGAAGATTGAGTCTCACACGACAGAATTTGTGCAAATTGTAATGGAAATGTGGGAGGCCACAATGGAGTTCCTGTTATACTAAATGTTTTACAAATGGGGGCTAAATTAAGGCCGAGCATAAATTTGCTCATGTCTCAGGACATACACTATTAGAGAAACAATATAGATTTAAGTAGCTCAAATGTGAGGCAGTTATTTTGAGGGTCAAGATTCCCATGCTAATGATGTGTACCTTTGAAAAGTATACGCTCTGAAATCACTAAGGGCCTGGATTAAGCAGGAGATGGATGAAGACGGAAAGAAAAAAAGCTTCAATTAAAAAGTACGAGTGACTGACCACAACAAAAGACGAAACCCAAGACTTAGAAAAGGCACCACATGCTATTCATTTTCCCAAAGTGAATGGAGTCAACAGGGAGGAGTTAGGGAGCAGTGAAGGGAAAAGTTCACTCCACTGAGCCACTCAATCGTCTCTCCATAAGTGACTCTCTCATGAAGACATGATAGTGGAGCCTCGCAGCGTGGCGGAAACTGTGGCGCGCTTACACTGTAGGTGCGCCGCGTTTGGGGGTGCGGGGGGGGGGGATGCGGGTGCCAGTGGAGCCTCGCAGCTCACCCTCAGCACCCTTCCCACGTCCATTCGCGATGTCAGGAAACCACACCAGTAAGCCAGCTCACAGCAGCGAGCCAGTGGGCGAGCTGACCAATCAGAGCACACTGGGCTCACAGGGAGGGGGGGGCAGGAGCTCCAACAAGGCGTTTAGGACAGTTTTAGGAGAGTGAAATTCAGTGAATACACATACTATACAGAGATGCTGTATGAGAAAACCAATGTGAGTTTGGAAAATTGCACAATGTAAATATATTCTCGTATACCTCAACCATGGAATTATGATCGGTAGAAATGGCCATGTCATGGGACCTTTAACAAAAATCAGGCATGGAAAAGACATCCAATGCTGCTTCATACCCTTCAATAAA